CTTCTTTATCCAATCCAGATATTCCAAAAAACGTGGCACTCGGATTATTGTAACTTTAGCCGTATTTCTGACGCAGATAAATACAAACGAAAACAATTAACATACATTTGTAATTAAATAATGTATAAAAGTGAGACTGACTTGTAAGGAGAAGAACTGAGAGAAATGCATGTGACGGCCCTCGGCTAGGAAGACAAAGACTCTTGGCTGACTTTTAACAGGTAAAGCTCATGAAACCTCTCAAGAACTTGTCAAAATCTGTTCCTAAAGGGACATTCCTTCCTTCCTTCACCATGCCATAAGTTTCACCCCCAAATCAAAAGAAATAAAATAAAAGAATCCAAAAATAAGCTCCAAAATAAGAATGATATTTTTGTTCCCCAGAAAAACTTTATTACACCAATGGGAAACTAATAAGAGTCACTATTGGGAGGGGAAATGCAATTATTAGTTCTGAAAATAATATCACAATGCAAAATGATTCCTTAATTATTTGAGAAAGAAATCTTAATTTTCTCTAAATCTCTAAATTTTTTATTTTGGGGTGAAACGAGACCTTGTTTCATGAGCTTCACCCTTAGATTTTATTAAGCATGTTCAGCAGTTATAAGGATTCGGTGCAACAGAACAGAAGACTATCTCAGGACCTCTGCTTTTCTCGGGTCCTGGCTGAGGAGGTATATCCTGTGTGTTTCCAGTTGTGCTCCTCGAGAGGGTTTTCGGAGGCAAGGCAAGAAAGGCGATGAAGGCCTTAATGTTCGATGAAGGGAGATCTCAGCTCACTCCCCCCTAAGGCCATAGGAAGACATGGGTACACTCAATCGAACGCTGCGATGTGCATTGAAACTAGTGGTTAGATGTATTGGGTGCAGTGCATTCAGAGCATTGTCATGAGGAGAGCAGATGAGGAATGTAACAAGTCTGTCAGGCATTTGAGATGAGCATTGAGTGGAAGTTTCGATACATTAATATGATGCCAGGTCAGTGCATTTAAGACATTCTCAGAGTCATTATGTGTGGACTGAAGTTTGGTGAGAGGCGTCCCAGTTTCGGTTAGTGGGCGTGAATGTCCAGGCCTTGTCCTATGAGGGGTTCGGCGGGGTGGCTGTGGGGGGGTGGGTGGAGCAGCATGGCGGTGTGGGGGCCGGGGTAGGGGTGCAGGGACGGGCCGGCGTGGGGGTATCCCGGCTGGGGCAGGAGGGCCCCGGGGTAATCCGTGGGCATTCCCTGAAGCCCTGACAGTGGAGGAAGAGAGAAAGAGTCAATCCTGGGAACAGGTACATCACCCTAGTCCTAGACTGCTTTAGATGATGTCATGTGTTGGACTGACACAGAATAAGGAAGTGGCAGAAAAAACATGTCAACACCCCCAAAGCTTCACAGTCCTATAACTCATCCTGGGTCGACATTTCATTCAGTAGCATTAGGCAGTTTTGATTTATGTGCTTAAGCAATGCTTCTATCTGGATCTGGATATTCAGTACTCTTTCAGAAGATGCGTAATAGCGCCCCCTACCGTATAACATTGAATACATGGAAAACTTGTCACTAGAGGAGAAACTAAGGGCCCTATCATACACGTGGTGCAATGCAGAGCCAGACGCGATGCAAGTGTTTTTTGCTAGTTTCAGCCCGACGCAGTTATCATTTTCACGACCTGCGACATGTTGTTTAAATAGCAAATGCATTTGCGCCCATTTGTGCGCCCATGGGCTGCTGGTCTGAAAACGAGGTGCGTTCAGGAGCATTGTTTGCGCGTTTTTTGAGGAACTGAAGTAGACTGAGCCGCATTGACCAACAAAAACCTGGTCTAAAGTCAATGGCGCAGTATTTTTTTTGTTATTTAAAGAGCGCGTGAGTAATATGCGCCTATAGGCGGGTCCACAACGCGCGTACACTTTGTCCCGTAGATGGACTACTCACGCTTTAGCCTCGCGCACGAGCAGATCCGTTTCCTCGCTACAGAAGCGTTCAGTTTTTCCGCTTGCAAATTCCTCCATGTAAATAGCGAATCCGCCATAGCGCGAGCGCAACTGGCTTTTAAAGGGAATGGGAGATGAGACTCTGATTGGTTTATTGCAAATAACGCCCAAAACAAACCCATTACTCATGAAGAGAATAGGGACAACTCTTTAAGACCATGCGCCGGGTGTGTCGACCATTTTTCCCGTCGTTAAACTAGCAAAAGTGGATTCGGACGCGCCATAAGTGCATTGCGCCCTGCGCTTTAGATCATGAGCTTAGATCGTTAAAATAGGGCCCTAAGAGTTCATTTTGAATACAGTATATGCTGCTTCAGACATCACCCTCAATATACTTTTTGCCCCCCAAGTACAAAAGAGAAACTTTGAAAGTAATGCTCTCACCTGCTGTCCTAAGACCTAAATGAGTCTGAGCATCCAACCCATATCCTCCTAGAGCCGCCCCCTCTGGACTGTACGGGGCACCCTGGCCTAAACACACACACACACAAATATGTGTTATTCAGTGCAGAGAGCCACAAATGTTGATTTACTATACAATCAGAATGTAAAACAAGTCCTAGATAAACATGCACAAATGCAGAATAACTTTATCTTACCTGAGCGATTTGACTGGTCAATCATTGGCTGGACTATTCTGCGTCTGGCATTTATAAACCTGAGCGCAGACAGCAGGAGCAAACACACGATTAGAACAACAGGAACAAATCGTTTTTTTTATTTTTATGAATGCAACAATAGCTGACCAAATTTAAGAACCACATTTAATGTCAATACAATTAGAATATGTGAATCCATTTTACACAAAAAAATGCAGAACAAAAAAGTAAATACAATATAATATAAATAAATATATATAAATATAAATCACACATTTTAACTTTGAATTGCATTGCTCATGATGTAAATATGCCCAGATGAAGGCAGGTAATGAGAGCGGTTGATTATTAGAGAGAGAGAGCGATTACTAACCAGTTGTTGACCTGTAGTATGGTGAGACCCGTGTCCAGGGAGAGCTGTTTCTTCTGTTCTTCAGACGGGTACGGGTGCTGAGAGAGGACAAAAGGTGTGTAATGCAATTAAGCCTAGGTTAGTGGTGTGACCTTTGTGAGCGCACAGAAATAGGCATCTGCACTGTTACCCAGTTCATATTTACATACTCGGATTACTTCCTGAAAGTAACAAGTAAAGCAATGCGTTTTGAATTTGCACCATTATTTAGTTAGAATGAATTTTTCAAGAAAATAATGCATACTTGGTAAATAGTACACATTATTAAATACTGACAAATATATTTGTAACAATGTAAAACAAATAGTTACTTTTTACAAGTAATGAAATAATGTAACTTGTTTCCTTTAAAATAAATATAAAATGCATTTACATATAAACATGCTCCTCAACAATGGTTACTGGTGACACTTTGGGACTTGATTAAATAAATATTTTTTCAGTCAGATTTCTTTGCACTTTAATTTTTATCCTTGTTATTATTCGTAACTTCTGGATATTCTACCATTTGTAATTACAGATGCCTCATTAGTTGGCAATTACCATATGCTCATTACCATATCTTTAAAAGCTTTACTCATTTCAAATGTTATTAACCATCGACCATCAAGAGCTCATAAATTCATATTTCACAGATATTAACTTGAGATGGTCAATAAAGTCGTCCATTTTTGTTACACCTTTTCCAAACCTTTCATCCCTTCTTGTTTTTCTAGCTTTCCTCTGTTGCCTTTATTTTTCTTCAAGCTCCGCTCTTTGTTTTTCTGCCACCGATTTTAGCACCAAATGCTACTGTTTCTTTCAAGCCTTATATACACTCACCGGCCACTTTATTAGGTACCCCATGCTAGTAACGGGTTGGACCCCCTTTTGCCTTCAGAACTGCCTCAATTCTTCGTGGCATAGATTCAACAAGGTGCTGGAAGCATTCCTCAGGGAGTTTGGTCCATATTGACATGATGGCATCACACAGTTGCCGCAGATTTGTCGGCTGCACATCCATGATGCGAATCTCCCGTTCCACCACATCCCAAAGATGCTCTATTGGGTTGAGATCTGGTGACTGTGGAGGCCATTTTAGTACAGTGAACTCATTGTCATGTTCAAGAAACCAATTTGAAATGATTAGAGCTTTGTGACATGGTGGAAGTAGCCATCAGAGGATGGGTACATGGTGGCCATAAAGGGATGGACATGGTCAGAAACAATGCTCAGGTAGGCCGTGGCATTTAAACGATGCCCAATTGGCACTAAGGGGCCTAAAGTGTGCCAGGAAAACATCCCCCACACCATTACACCACCACCACCAGCCTGCACAGTGGTAACAAGGCATGATGGTTCCATGTTCTCATTCTGTTTACGCCAAATTCTGACTCTAACATCTGAATGTCTCAACAGAAATCGAGACTCATCAGACCAGGCAACATTTTTCCAGTCTTCAACTGTTCAATTTTGGTGAGCTCTTGCAAATTGTAGCCTCTTTTTCCTATTTGTAGTGGAGATGAGTGGTACCCGGTGGAGTCTTCTGCTGTTGTAGCCCATCCGCCTCAAGGTTGTGCGTGTTGTGGCTTCACAAATGCTTTGCTGCATACCTCGGTTGTAACGAGTGGTTATTTCAGTCACTGTTGCCCTTCTATCAGCTGGAACCAGTCTGGCCATTCTCCTCTGACCTCTGGCATTAACAAGGCATTTCCGCCCACAGAACTGCCGCTCACTGGATGTTTTTTCTTTTTCGGACCATTCTCTGTAAACCCTAGAGATGGTTGTGCGTGAAAATCCCAGTAGATTAGCAGTTTCTGAAATACTCAGACCAGCCCTTCTGGCACCAACAATCATGCCACGTTCAAAGTCACTCAAATCAACTTTCTTCCCCATACTGATGCTCGGTTTGAACTGCAGGAGATTGTCTTGACCATGTCTACATGCCTAAATGCACTGAGTTGCCGCCATGTGATTGGCTGCTTAGAAATTAAGTGTTAACGAGCAGTTGGACAGGTGTACCTAATAAAGTGGCCGGTGAGTGTAAATGTACCATTGTAACCATACTTTTCATCACAATGGATAAAAAAAGAGCTCACTCTTATTCATTTTCCTCATGTCATTCCAAACCTGATTTTTTTTCTCTCAACAGAACACAAAAAGAAAAGTGTTCAAGTATGTTTTTTACTGTAAATAAATAAATTGGTTTTCTATCTTACCGACAGGTGCTGAAAGAGCCATGCTCTCATAATGTTCGTTGCAACTTTGGGAAAGATTCCTCTTTTCTTGTTGTTTCGTCTGTCTCTGTCCGTTTCGTCTTCTTCTCCTGTGCTGGGCGATGCCACACTCCCATCCAATCCATCACCTGAAACCCCACAATGAAATATCCCATCAGATCGGACCGATAATAACAGGACGCTAGTCATTGAATTAAACATGCATAGGCCTACTACTACTGTAAACATTCATTACTGCATCTAGTTTATACAATTCACAAAATATTTGAAGAGAACAGTATGCAGTGTAACCAGTACTTGATTGTGTGTAAAATGGCTACCGGCATCACTGCAGTTCTCTGCGCTGTGTGAGGTGAGGCCACAGGAGGCGCTCGGGGTGCCCGAGGGGGTCGACACACACTCATCTGGGTCCCGCAACCAAGACTGATTCTAGATCAGAGGAACACACACACAATAAGAGGAAACAACCAAAGACTTTAGATACAGAAAGACGCTGCACTCATATTAGTATGAATGGGAGAAAGGCAGAATATCTGGTGAAACAAGCCCCGCCTTCTAGATAAAAGAGCCAATCGCCGATTGATGAAGTCATCAGATCGTTAGAAGCTCGTTTGCTATAGAAACAGTCAGTGTTTTGAGACGCGCGCAGGACCGCACATGCGCATTGGCTATTTTTAATGCTATTTGAGCATAAATATGCTTAACTGCTGCGTTTATACTCAGACAGCAACATCCGGATCCGGCCCCAATCTGGTACGCATTGGATCCACATGTACCAGATGTGGGCCGGATCTGGACCGACACTATGGTGCTGTCTGGGTACTCACACAAATACATTTATACTCACTGCTGTGTGTGTGTGTGTGTGTTTGGATTGGTGAAAAGAGCACAAATTCTACACGTCGCTTTCACTTCACTTTCATAAGAATCAACATTTATGAGATAGTTCATGTCAGATTTAGCTGCTGATTTAAAATATGTTATCTAATAGACCTTATTCAGAGCAGCGCCATGACATGTATGAAAGCGAGGCTGTGTGTGAAACACTTGCCGTGTTTTCAATGGGTTTTCAGAAAACCTGTATAAAGCGTCCAGATCACTTCTCATTTTCCACAGCTAGGGTTTTTTGTCTACTGACATTTCCTGGAAAGATAGTTTTGTGGTGTTTCGTCAGCAGAACAATCCAAAAAGTAACCGTAAATAACAGCACAACACACTGAAGAGATGCATGTCTGTCCCTCAAAGCCTCGCTTTCAATCCCATTAAAAATCAAAGATGGCGCTGCTGCTGTGAATAAGGTCTACAGTGAGCTCAGCAAGCAGCTTTTGAGATTTCAGGATTCACATTTGTGTAGACAGGACTTGGTCTTGGATGCCCAAAACAGTAAATATGGCCGTCGAGTGAACAGACAAAGAAAAAATGGCTTTAAAACCACTAACACCCTGGACTCACTTGTTCTGACAGATTGGTGCAAGAACCAGTGAAATCTTCCATGTCAGATTTGGATCCCCCGTCCCGGTCCTCCAGCACCAGATCAGTGGGCATCTTGCCCTTTAGACAGGTGATGTAGCGATGACAGAAGTTATCACAGAGGTCATGAACCTAGAGGAGAAAATAGACTCATTGACATCCATTCACTCTGCAAGAATGTTAATGCCGTTTTTACAGCACAGAGAGAGAGAGAGAAGGGTCGGTTTCAAAACATGCAAAGTTGCCACGTTTTAAATAAATTTTTATTTCCTTATTTCATGATATCCTTCAGAAAATCTCATGCACGCTTACCCATATTAAAACTTTTAATATGGGGAAGCGTGCATGAGATTTTCTGAAGGATATCATGAAATAAGGAAATAAAAATAATAAAAGGGGTTTGAAATGACATGAGGGGAGTAAATTTTAACAGGATTTTCATTTAAGAAATATCACACATTAAATGCAATATCTGGAAACTGGAAAAATTACAAAAGTACCCAGAAAGCAATTTTCAAAAAGCAAATTGAAACAGAGACTCTAGGCTAAAACAAGGCTACATTTGGGCTGTCAGTGAAAATGTAATAGAGGTCTAAACCATCGCCCAAGAATAGAATAGTCATACACACAGAACATGTCAGAGAAATGAAACCAAACACCTTGCAATCACTCTTTACTTTGCTTATATGATGGAATATCATACATCTCGCAGGTTATTTTGGCAAAAACGACATGTAACCAAATTCAAGGTTATTTTGGCTAGATGTGGGTTACTCATAGCCGGACTATATCGGGTCTATAGTTAACCTAGACGGGGAACTGACGGCTATTGCTTGCTGGGTAACCAAATGTACCATGGTATGGTGGGATTTTCTGACATGGTATTAAGGTAATGGTTTTGGTCATGTGTTACCATAAAACAATTTTTTAAAACATGTACCATAATAATGTTCTTTGAAGTAATTTATATTACCATCTAAATATTACTGTTCTCATCAGTACTGATAATAAATTACCAAAAAGTGCCATATTATTCTCATCTGATACCATCACTATATCATTGTATCACCATATTGCTTTATTGAAGGGTAATCTTTAAAAACACTCATCGTGTAATACAGGAGACCAAACATACCTTTTCTAGCTCTAATAGATGAAACCGTAGAACTTGAATGGCCTGGATCATCTGTGCAAAGACATCATATGGTTACACCCTTTGCAAAATTACATGAAGCCGTTTATTTTTTAAAGCTTATGTATATTATTTTACCAGATTATCCAGTTCTGGATTTGATGAAAAGATGGGTTTCTCTGATCGAATCTAAAATAGTGAACAGAAAAAAAATCATTATGTTTATGCAGGCATTTTTCTAGTACATTACAAGACACAAGCCTGTCACATTTGACATTTTAAACTAGACAAGGAGTTGCAGATCCCTGTGTGTGAACGTCCGTTTGTGCGTGTGTGTGTGTAGTTCAAGACATTTTTTGGTCCCCATGAGGAAAACAGCTTATAAATCATACTAAATTATGCTTATTACTTTTCTATGAGGGGTTGGTTTAGGGGTAGGGGATAGAATATACAGTTTGTACAGTATTTTTAAAAATTCATGTTTTCCTAAAACATGCAAACCCAACATGAGTTCCTCACTTGTTTGGCAAAGACTGCGATGTCATCGTTGAACGAGTCAGAGGAGCAGACGTCGCTGTGATTGGTCATGCCGTGGAGGTGGGCGGAGTTTGACATGGAGGCGGAGTCTCGTGGTGAGCAGGTGGCAAGTTCACACTTTTCAAATACCAGAGCCAGGAGTGGAAACAGAGGATGACTGCGAATCAACACACACATACGCTCCATGTAAGACAACACTGCAGGGTGAAAACTGCAAAACAGCTTTGATTTATGTGATGAACACAAATTAATGCCACCACAATGTCGCAATCATTTCAGATTTTCTTGAAGGGAGTGATAGTTTTGATATTATATCCTTTCTCCTATCTCAGATTAGTGTGGATAGACAACTATAAGTAAACTATTTGTAGGTTGACTTCCCCAAAATCTGGCTAAAATGGCTCTAAGGTGAATTCAAAACATTGTTTGTTTGATGAGTAGCCCAACACAGCAACACTGGCTCAACTAAACCAATGGCGTGAGTTTGGGGGCCGGACCAATATGTGTCTGACCAATGGGAGTGTTTGGAAAACCTGTCTGAAAACAGTTCTTATTTTTGCAATTCCAATTGGTGCCACTAGTGGTGCGAAAATGACACTTCACCTTTCTGACTTTTCAAGACGCTGTTAAGTTTTTAATTGTGAATTGTGAATAAACATTGTAGTTTGCAAACATTGTGTGTTGAAAATACTACATTTTGTGGGTTTGAGGGCTGGCGAATTTGTATCGTTCTCAGTGGAAGCACTTGAACAGTAAAATGCATAAATGACATCGTTTAACTCTTTCCCCGCCATTGTTGGACATTTCCTGCTTTTGGTGTTTTCACTGTTATACGGTAGGGGGCGCTATAACACGTCTTCTGAAAGAGCACTTCTGAAATTAGCAGAAACCAGCAATATCTTATAAAAGCAGATGCATACGTAAAATAATGTGATCATCAACATTAAACAGCATATAAATCAAAACTGCCTATTGTAAATGAATGAAATATCGACCCAGGACTGTGAAGCTTTGGTGTTGATGGACTCGATCTACTCCATCTATGTTTTGATCATCTTTCTGAATCTGATCTGAATGTCTTTTTTTTTTTTACGAGATTTTCTCAGCTTTTTGCTCAAAAAGATGCTTTTTTATAATGAAACTTACCCACATAAAAAACAAAAACATTTTATTCTGGCCTCATTCAAAGCAGAGGGTCTATTCTTTCTTTTGATATATTGCATGTTGAGATGTTCATGCAACAGAATATTCTGGGGGACATGAAGATTTTGTGAAAATGCCTAAAAATGCTTGCAGTGGCTGACAACTTTCTTTCTTTTTAACGCTGACGGGGAAAGAGTTGATACCTTATGAACACCTTTACTTATTCATTTAGTTGCCCTTGAACTAAAATACTTTGTATCTTCACCAGAAAATAAAAAAGAGAAAGAAATGTGCTACCCATATGGGTTTGCATTACCCTAAAAATAGGCCTCGTGTGAAAAAGTGAAAAATACTGTGTAATTATTTAAACTTCAAGTGAGCAAAATCACTTGAACTTGTACAATGCCATAATTACAAATTCATGAAAACTGCCCAGGATTTGAAGGCTTAGTGTGCAGCGCTCCTACATGTGTGGCGTGAGGAAACAGATGGCGACTCTCACCCGTAGATCAGGTCCCGGTGGTGTTTCAGGGAGTCGGGCACCGTGTGGCCGTAGTGATGCGGAGGAAGTGACCTCATGACGTCCCGGTACCCTCCCACAGGCATGCCGTCAGAGCCTGGGTACTGCACCAACTCCTCATACTAGACACGAGACACGGGACGAGACGAGACTCAAAGATAAGACATGGCCTGATTCAGCCTTATGTTAGTGTGAACTGTGCTGTGTGTGTGTGTGTGTGTGTGTGTGTGTGTGTGTGTGTGTGTGTGTGTGTGTGTGTGTGTGTGTGTGTGTGTGTGTGTGTGGAGTTTACACAGCATTGACTGTACAGTAGAGTATGAAAGGCTGTTTGAAGTCGCTGATAATTGTATCTCCTCCTTAATAAACACTGGATGCGGAGAGGCTTTGATGTGCGATTTTTTCAGTGCCAAGCAACATTCACCCAGGGACATAAACTACACAGAAAACTGATTTATAATTAACAGCCTTACATACAATTACATAAAGTCATCCAGCCTTTATTTTTATACTAATTAGGTGATTTTAAAGTGATCTTTCTGAATAATGCTGTCGTCAGATATATGATCAGAAAACAACATGATTATTGAATAATCAGAAAACATCTAACTATTAAATTCATTTTGAACCGTTCCCAATGACTGCTCACCTGTTATTCAGATGGAAGTTGTATTATCATTACTAATAACGTTATTTAATGTAAGCCATAACCTCTGCAAATTACATTGCATATAAACCATGCTCATATTCTTATGCTCACCATGAACATCTTTTGTTTTTTAGCGCACTACGTTAACACCAGTTTCATTCGGCTTCATTTTTGAAGTTGCAAACAGAGAAAGCAATTTTGGGTTTCACAGTCTTTTAAAATATATCCAATGAACATGCTGTTATGAAAAAATATATACATATTTTATATGTGAAACTAATAATTAGTGCACTGGCTGCTACCAACGCTCATAATAAAATGAATTAACTAAAAATTAAAAAAATAGTTTTGAGCTAAAATGATAAGTAGGCCCATTATGAAGACGGACTATGTAAGATTGTCACATCAGTCATCATTACTGCGTTACAACGATCAGTTAAGAAGCAGTTAAACACATAAAGGATCCAAAGAATTACATTTGATAAACGGTTGATGCAGTGCTGGAAATTATAAGCAGCTGTAATGCATTCGGTAACACTTTACAATAGGGTTTATTGGTTAACATTAGTTAACTACCATAACTACCATTCCTCAACAAATAATGAACAATACTTCTTCAGCATTTATTAATATTAGTTAACTAATACGTTATTAAAATCGAAGGTTGTATTTGTTTACATTAGTTATTGCACCGTGAACTAACATGAACAAACAATGAACAGCTGTATTTGTATTAACTAACATTAATAAAGATGAACAGATACAGTAACAAATGTATTGCTCATTGTTAGTTCATGTTAAATACATGATAACTAATGAGATCTTATTGTAAAGTGTTACCATACATTCATAGATAAAGCTGGATTCCATTGACGGAAATATCATCAAACTTTGATGCACATACTGTATTTGAACTGGTAATCATATAACGACTATTAGTGTGAATAATTAAAGTTATTATAGACAAACTATTAAGCACTGCAGTCTCAGTTTCAAACCAACTGAATATATTTAAATATAAAAACCCCGGTATGTAATTGTGTATCCTGCGGCAATGCTTTTTATAAATAAATGAGCAGTGAATGTATACTTTACTAAAATTTAAAAACCCAGACGTGACGTTGAACAGCATGCAAAATATATCCCATTCATTTTGCGGAATTCACCAATGAAAAACTATTCTTGATGTGGTTGCAGGGACAGATATGAGAGCTTGTGTTTGAGATCGCACAGACTGATGCCAAATTAACAGGATCTTAACTCCCATTCGGAAGAAGACACACAGAACCCAAGAAGAGTTTCCATTAGGCCGCTCACTGTAGCACAAAAGTTGACCTACTTACACACTTCATCCGCCTCTCCTACACTCAGTCTCAGGCTGGCCTTCTGCATGTTCAATACAGCGCATTGATTTCAGGAGGATAAACTGAGCAGAGGAGTGTGAGCGCCTTCGGAAACGCAACTGTCTGCCAAATAAATGTAGGCCTAGCTACATGCAAATTATTGCAAATATATATATAAAAAGATTCTTACTATTTGAATGCACATTAACAAATCTATTAAACATTACGTAATAGAATAAGGTTTACAACTGAATTAATAATGTAAGTTATTATAAAGTGTCCTCCAAAAATTTAACAATTGCAAAATAGGAAGTAACTTTTTGTATTTTAGACAACATACACTGTTTGTATAGCTATAGTTCTCTTTTTGTTATGCGTGTTTATTTGTTATGAACATCCACACTACAGGATCAAACACTAGCTTTGCATCATAACAGCAGGAAAATGGATCTGTAAAAGCAAGGGAAGAAACAGGACCTACCCTCTTCTCCATGCGATACGGAAGCCGAGCTCACACACTCACTGACGGAGGACAACACACACCCGCGGCGGATAAGACACTCTCTAGAAGAAATAAAGCGTTCAGAAAATGAGCATTGTAACATAAACATACTGATACCATAGTCATATTCCGGTCCACAAAGCATTTGAGATTTTGTGGACATTATTAAATAAACGCGAGCACATCTCGCATATGAGAGTAGCTCATTTCACTTAAAAAAAGTATCCACCAAAATAACAGCGCAAGTGTTGCTGTGCTAGAGTGAGAAACGCATATGCCTAATGTTATTATATCCATAACCGATGATTACATCCACGTAAATGTTATGGTTGTGTAAATTGGCTTGTATTATGAATATGAGGATATGATGAGAAGGCGTAAAGATCCCCCACCTTAAGAAGACTGTAGCAGCAGAAGCGTGACGCGGGCCGAGTATCCAGCGTTAGCGGCGCGTTTCAGATGATGTCGCGTCCTTCGCGCGCTATCGATGTCCATGAAGCGAGGCGTTGAGCTCGAATGCGTCTCTCCGCGATGAGCGATGGAGCTTTAAACCAGAGAGAGAGAGAGAGAGAGAGAGAGAGAGAGAGAGAGAGAGAGAGAGAGAGAGAGAGAGAGAGAGAGAGAGAGAGAGAGAGAGATGGAGACTGGGAGTTGTTTAGGGGGTCAAAACACAACGGGGTCTCTCACCCCCACCTCCTTATCACACACACGCTCGCGCATCACACACACACACACACACACACTCGCGCATTACAAACGCAGAGCCTTTGGTTTTATCTGAAGGACGCTCTGTTTCTCTTTCTCACACACACACACCGTGCTTACCGAGTTTCATCATCGCTAGTCTGGTGTAAAATCATTTTGTCTGATTATGAGTAGGCTATAGTGTGGAGCAGATCTGTCTGGGTTGCACTGGAGAATTTTACACACACACGCGTTATCATTCTCCACTACACACGCGTCACATCATATGCTACACAACACCGCCTCATTCATATACAGTGTCCCCAAAAAACATTTGTCGGATTTTAAAATGTATCGAAGCAAATGGCATCTGCAAACAAATGAAAGACATTTTCTCAGAACTAACTTTAGCCATATTTGCATTTTATGGTGTGAAGGTGATTTTATAGTGGAAGGCAGTTTAAATTCCCAGTTGTCCTAAAAACTAACTAGTTGTTGTAAAGGTTATGTTCCACTTATGTTTGATAACCAGAATGCCTCAAAATAGCCACTAAAAGTCCATGTCTTCCTTATAAATAGAGGGTGAATACAGATAGTGTGGGACAGAGTATATTTTTTCATTACTAAATGTCAGCATTGTTCATTTTAAATATGGGATGACATTGTCCTTGGATCATGTTTTTAAAACAATAATGATTAATCATTTAAAGTAGAAGTTTTAAGTGTCTGTGTAAATATTGGGTTTACATGACAGGTATATAGAAAAATCAACGTTTAACTTCTGGGTTATAATTTGATTTGGATTCAACCAACTCACAATAATTGTTTGTTAATTTAAAATAACAAAACAATTTTTTCATATTTAATGCTTACAATGAAATAAGAATCCGAGGAAGGGGTTAATAGGGGTTGGTATTGGTAAAAAAAAATCATAAAACAAAATAAATTAATATTCAAAGATTATAATCTAAAAGTATACTTTTACAGACTAAATGGAGAAAAAAGTAACACATTTCCAGGTATCCTCTTTATATCTGATTTAACACCAACTTCTTAGTGAAATATTTGCTTGAAAGGTAAGCTTGTGCTATCCTTTAAAATCAATGCCAGTTCGACATTTTGTTATGTGGAATAAGTCCAAATAGTTTTGGTAGACACTGTACACCACAATTTCTTTGCTATAAAATAGAAAAGATACAATCAGGTCCCAATCAGCTGATAACACTAACTGCCAATTACCATGCAACTTTACTATAAATAACAGCCATGTAATTGTTTTAATTGCAGGGCAAATTACAGCAATATGTTTGTGTTATTTATGACTGTCTAATAGGGAGACTGGGCTGGCTGTTATATGGAGAAGCTGTCACAGGGACTGAACTCGTAATATCCACACTTAATAAAACCACATCAAGACAAATGGTAAATGGAAAACCTGTTCTCTCAAGACAAGGGTATTTTGCATTAGATTGGTGCAAGTTGTTTTTAGCCTATAGGTTTTTAATTTATTAGGCTTACTTGCAATATTCCAAAACTAATTGTTTTTCTTTAGTTTGATAATTGTTTTACTGCTTGAAACCTAGCCTATAAAACAGTTTAAGCACCGCGTGAGTGATATTTGAGTGAAAACAATGGGCTTTTAATATGTGGGCACCCAGCATAACAATCATCCAGATCCACCTGTGACAGGAAAACAGTTCCGCGGCGGCCCAAACGCGGTCTTGTGTTGTAAATCACCCTTAAATAACATCATAATTATTCCATGCGTCCCCTAAACTCTTACCCCGCTGGGCGAGGCGTCGCGGGTGGTCGGGACTTCAATCAGCGCGACGCGGCTCTCAGCGCAGAGACGCTCCGCGGCCGCAGCGAGCAGAAGACTGGAGATCTGGCTCTTCGAGGCCACAGGAGGCCATCGGCCAGCAGAGAGAGGATCACAGCGAAGGAAAGCATTCACAGCGGGACAACGGGGATGTAAAGGCGCTTAAAAGAGCAACGCCTTTTCAATGCCGGCTTTAATCGGATATTTCCACTTGTAATGCGTTGTCATTTCATGCCAAAATGCTCTCCTAATACAACATCTGCTATAGGCCTACTATAACTTTGTAGTTTAGATTAATAATAATAGGGCTAGGTAACACTTTACAATAAGGTTTCTTAAGTTAACATGAACTAAGAATGAACAATTACTTCTTACATTTACTAATATTCAATTCAAATGTTGTATTTGTTAACATTAGTTAATGCACTGTGAATAACATGAATAAACAATGCACAGCTGGAATTTTTATCAACTGTAGCATTAACAAAGTTTATTACAAATGTATTGCTTGTTCATGTTAGGTAATAACTAATGTTAACTAATGAACCTTATTGTAAAGTGTTACCAATAATTAGCTATATTGTGTGAAATAGGCTATTTGATGAATGAAACTGAATACACAAACAAATGTAAAGTACACTGTAAAAACATTATTGTTGGTTTAACTTACAATTTTAAGGCAACCAGGTAACTTACTTTTTTGAGTTCATTGAAATAAAAAAAATGAGTTAATACAATGGAGATTGGTTTAGTAGTAAATAAAAACTCAAAATATGATGTTTTCTGAACCACATTAATTATCTATTTGATTTGACGAAAGATAAATAATTGTGATAAATCATGAACATATTTTTTGCACATACATTAGGCTACATATACACACCCTGCTAACCAAACTGAACACCCCACAATGGTTTGCCCAATGCCATCAATGAGTTGTTAGCATTAGTTGTGTGTGTGAGTGTATGGGCAGGTTGTGTTTAGAGAATAAGCTCATTAGTGTTCTGCTGTGAGGAAGGCTAGTGTGAGGGTTTTTGTTTAATGTGGCTGTTTGTCACTTCCTCTCAAAATGTGAATGTTTGTTCTGGGGCATTTGTCACAGTATTTGTCATGTGTGTGTGTGTGCCATATGAAAGACATTGGGTCAAGGAATCACACCACGGATAAACAACAGCAGCAATTCGTTCGCAACAAATCACTTTCTCATTTACTCATTTGTGATAAAGTTTAATATTGTTCCATTACTGGTCGTGTGGGCCTGTCCTACATTCACAGTTTATGCTAAAGAACTGACCTCACAAATTACCATCCCAACAACCTCACACAGTCTCTCAGGCCTGACCTTTGACCCCTGGATCAATATCGGCTGCTGTGAGCGCTGTGTATCCCTGAGGGAGTCGTTCTCTGGTGTCCGTTCACCCCGAATCCTCAGGTCAGGATCTCTGTCATACACAGAACGGTTTTGGTGCTTATTATTAGGCTTTTTATGGCACTTCTCGGGTTACACAGAATGTCTACATGCACTTAAAGTTTGATTTCAGCCAGACTAAAGCGATAATTTGTCTTTTTAAAAACTTTTTTTTGCAAAGTCGGACTTGCAGACCTGGATAAAGAGATTGAAGCATCGAGATGTGTACATATTAATCAAATTACAATCGGTCTTGGCACTGTGCGCATCCCCTGAAATACAGAAGTTATACGCGGCGTGTATTTAATTCCGTCAAATATTTGATTATGCATTGTGTCAGAAACAACAGATGAAGACTGTAGCCTGACACACACACACACACACACACACACACACACAAAAGAAGACTGTAGCTCGATATTAAGTGTAAACACACTGACTGTGTCACTATATAGGATGAATGGCTTTAGTTGCAGCATTCTTCACTTGTGAGTAGCTTTGAATAAAATAATCTGTTAAATTAATTGATTCAAATAGCAATTAATTGCTGCTTTCCTATGAACAATATTCACTTTTTTGGAAGGAACATTTAATTCTCTGGCTTTGCAGGCTTTAATGGCAAATAAAGTGGACACACCAAAGTGTTGGGTGTTAAAATAACAACAACAAAAAACTTGGTAAAGGTTTTGGCACTTGCTATGTGAACACACACACACACACACAAAACATGAATGGACATGATTCAAAAAGCTAAAATGGTCCTCACTGAAAGCTCATTTTTTGAAGTTTCAAGCTCAAATTTGTAACACACTTGATTAGATTTATGGCTTTGATTTGTAGTTTTAGAGTAAAACGTGATCTTGAACATACATTTCATATACAAATTTAAAATAGTATTTTTGTGCATTTTTCATAACAATACACATAAAATTCTGACTTTTTTAAGTTCTCTTTTTAAAACTTTTTTCACTTCAGCAATAATCTGCCAAGTGTCGTCTTTGAAAAGAGATCAAACTTCAGTCTGTGCTTTAAAGCATTCAAGATTTACAGCAGTTTAAGTCATGTCTATAATCAAAAAGTAAATAAA